TGGTGATGGTTGCATAACACGGTGAACGTAATTGATGTCACCGAATTATACCGAAATACACTTAAAAACACTTCAAATGGCAATTTTTTTCATGATATATATTTTACCACAATAAAATAAAAAAATATTTATACAATTTGAGGGGTAATTTATTGCCTTGTCAAAGAATCTTTTAAAAAACACCTAAGCCATAATACTTGTTACAGAAAAATGAGAAAAATAGAAAGAAAAGAAAATAGCCTAGAGATAACCAGCGAAATTTTGCCTAGGAAGACATCTGGCATATACACAAATATGTGTGTGTGTGTGTGCATGTGTGTGTGTTTGTGTGTATATATATATATACACACACATATATGTACACACTATGTATATATATACCAAAATGTATATATATTCTTTTTTTTTAGTCTTTTTGTATTGTACTTTAGATGACGACTTATAAAAAAAATTAGTTTCTCATTAAATAGTTAATACACATACTGTTTTGTGACATTGGATACCAACCCCATGACATGTCAACACTGTCCTCTTCTCAACCTTGGGTTCCTCAGTACCAGCTTTCCTGTCCCCTCCTGCCTTCTCGTCCTTGCCCCTGGGCTGGTGTGCCCGTTTAGTCTTGTTTTGTTTTATGGGCCTGTCTAATCTTTGGCTGAAGGGTGAGCCTCGGGAGTGGCTTCATTACTGAGCTAAAAGGGTGTCTGGGGGCCATAGTCTCAGGGTATCTCCGGTCTCCGTCAGACCAATAAGTCTGTTCTTTTTTGTGTGTGTGTGAGTTAGAATTTTGTTCTACATTTTTCTGCAGCACTGTCTGGGACCCTCTATTGTGATCCCTATCAGAGCAGTCAGTAGTGGTAGCTGGGCACCACATCTAGTTGTGCTGGACTCAGTCTGGTGGAGGCCGTGGTAGCTGTGGTCCATTAGTCTTGTGGACTAATCTTTCCCTTGTGTCTTTGGTTTTCTTCATTCTCCCTTGCTCCAGACATGGCTGGACCAGTGGAGTATCTTAGAAGGCTGCTCACAAGGTTTTAAGACCCCAGACGCTACTCACCAAAGTAGGATGTAGAACATTTTCTTTATTAACTATGTTATGCCAATTAAGCTAGATGTCCTCTGAGACCATGGTCCCCAGCCCTATACATTCTACATTTTTTAAATAAAAATAAGGTCATATTGTATTTTAAGGTACTATTTAGCTTATTCTGTATGATAAATGTCTTTTCTTGTTGTGATACCTCTGCATCATCGTTTTAAATGGCTAGTTTACGTTATTTATTTTATGACTATCACACCAGTTTTTAATATTGACCATTACATTATCTCCGTTTTTCCATCTTTTGAATGTTTTTGTTTCTTTTTACTCACTCATCTGATTATTTCCATAAGACAGAGTCTTACAAAATTGCTGAGTCGAAGGGTGTGTACTTTTTGGAGACTTTTGATTCATGTTACTAAACTGCATTTCGGAAAGATGACACCAATTCATACACCCACCAGTGGTATATGAGTGTGGCATTTCTCTTTATTTTCTTTTTAAGCTTTGCTAATCTGGTCAGCAAAATGCAGCATGCTATTTATTATATTTCTCTGATTACTAGTTAGGTTGTACTTGTTTTCTATAAAGGAGTCCTGGTGGCACAGTGGTTAAGCACTCAGCTGCTAACCGAAAGGTCAGCGGTCCGAACCCACCAGCTGCTCCATGGGAGAAAGATGTAGCGGTGTCGTGAACTGTCTGCGTTAGAGCTGAAGTGTTGGAAGGCACTGCCATTTAAATAACAACCCACACTTGAATATTGCTTTACCATTAACAAAAAACGTGTTCTTTGAGCTTGTGAACATGTGCATTATCATCCTCATTTTTCAGTGACCGTTCTAAGGTCACCTTGCCTGTGGATGGTAGAACTTAACTTTGAGCGTAGATTATCACGCTCTGACTTCTGTTTTCTTTCTGTTATATCAATCAGAAATGTTAAATATCGCTGAAATTATAATGCTGTTTATTGCAGTAAATATGATTTGATTCCTAAAAACTGGACTTAGATATTTTTTTATTCAGCTGGCATTTCATGACCGCTTATAGTACGCTGCACGTACTGTTGGAAAACCCGGATGAAAGACTTTTCTCAGGATCTTATTAGACAAAAAAAATGTTGTATGAAATGAGAGTTTGCATTTTTCTCGTACTCAGTGAAATATTATTGAAGGATACCTTTTAAGTAGATAGAATAAGGAAAGAATAGCTAATATCTCTCAGTGCATTTCCTAGCCAAGTTTTTCTACCTTCAGATAATCTGCTTTCTCTTTGAGGCTTTCAATTGTAAACTGTTTATGAAAGCAGATATTTATACATATTTTGAATTTTTAATTAAATAGATTTTGGTAGTATTTATATAAGCTTTAAATACAGTTGCCCCACCCACCATTTATGTGATCAAAATTAGCAGACAATATTAACTCACAATTGATTATATTTTTAGAGTATAATTTGTTGGTTATTAGGGTGCAGGTGTACAGCTGCTTAAAAAAGAAAGTTCTGAATTCGTTTGCTGCTTCCCTCTGCAGAAGTTGGACATTAAGAGCAGGTGTTTAGACATACCAGTAACCCAGTAACTGTGAACTCGCTACTGTTGAGTATGTGGTTTCAATTGAGGTTTTTGCCATTATAGTTGTATAATAACAAAAAGATGTAAACTGATGCTTTTGAAGTTAGAATAATACATGTATTAAATGGTTACATTGTATTAAGCATGGGATATATTAAGTCTTCTTTGCTTTCTTTTTACAGTAGAACTCAGCAAAAGTTTTGTCCTTTTCTTTTTAGACTAGAAGAGTAAAAAAAGGGGTGGGGGATGTTAGTGACACCACAGCAACCTCTTGCCGTTTACAAATTGGACATTCAACATTAATATTGTCAACAACTCTGAACATTCATGAAATGTGGTAATGTGTAACTTTGTTGTCAAGGGTTTACTTTACTTCCAGTAGAATACTTATAAGAAGCTAGACAAAGTCAAATATCTGCACCACTATCTACATAGAACGAAGAAGCCATTTTCTAGATGTTTTCGTCTCAGCACCGTTATAAAAATGTGGTAATAGGAGATGCCAAAGATAGATTTGCATCAGAATTTCTTGTCAATGATATGAAATATATGTAGAAATATATCTGGTGACATATCTCTTGACCAAAAGAAGCAACTATTAGCTGTTTGAATTAGCTTTTGAATTACCAAATAATGAAATAATTAGCTCTTATATCATGAAATTGTAAAGTTTCAAATGAATGCTTATAATGTTTTAACAGTGAGTAGTTAAAAAAAAAGGACAAGTGCACAGATAATGAAGTTCTAAAGCTTCATGAGCTATAAAATAACTTCAGTGTGGTAGTTCCCTTGAAAGAATGTTTGAGGTACCAAACCAGCATTGGTATTTCAAGACTACAAGTCTTAAATGCTTAATACAACAACAACAATAACAGAGCCATTTATTGGATGCTTACTATGTGCCAAGTTTTCAAAAATAAGAGTCTTTTTTTCCTCCAGAATCTATAATAAATTTTAAAAACCTCTTTGTTTGATGGCTACTATCACATATTTAGCTCTGTAATGCCAAGTAGTCCAATCGACATAATGAAATAAAATAATCTAAAGATGAATTTATAAGCACACTTGCTGTAGGCAGTCCTTCAAGTATCATGATAATACTAATGAATGCTAACATGGATTGAGCACTATGTGCCAAGCACTGTGCTATATACTTTACATGAATCATCTGTACCAGAATTGTTAAGTACTGTTATCACCCTCCAATTTACAGAAGAGGAAATTAAGGTATAGAGAGTTTACGTGGCTTGACCAAGGCCATCCACCTGGTAGGCATGAGTGAAAATATGCCAGTGCCTCTTACTTCTGCCTTATGGTATTAATGGTATTTTTTTGATTCATTACATGTGTCTTAGTCTGGGTTCTTTAGAGGGGCAAAACCAGTGATACATACATATATCACTGGTTTACATATATATGTATATATATACACGTATATACGTGTGTGTGTGTGTATGTATATATATATATACTTCAAGAAAATAGCTCATACAAATGTGGGGGCGAGCAACTCCCAAATCCGTAGATCAGGTGGTAGACTGGAGACTTCCGCAGGCTTACATCCCAGGAACCGGAAGTCAGGAGACAAGAAGAGTGCAGGGTCACAAGAGAACAAGCTTTACCAGAACATCCATTTATATACTGGAAACAGGCCACACCCCCAGGGAAACTCCCCTTTCATCTGATTAGCTGATCATATCAGATCACATCATGGAAGGTGATTACATTATATTATATTATGAAAGAGCAACCAGTCCAGTATCTGCCAAACCACTTTGAGAATCCCAGCATAGCCAAGTTGATACATAACATTAACCATCACAACATGTCTTAGTGTTAAACAGCATTGTAGGCAATTAGTAAAAAAAGTAAAAATTAAGGGCAGCAATGATGGTGGAATTTTGATGTATCTCTTGACAACTTCATGTCTGCCAGATTGGACTACTTACTTTCAGAAAACAACGGTAAAATCTGTAGATCTTAGTTCTTCTCACAAGTAACATTATTTCCTTAATTTTACCTGAATATGGATTAATTTTTACTTAATCTTAAAAGTAATTTTTCCTACTCCTATATTTGATATGGAGCCCTTGTGGTGAAATGGTTAAGAGCTCAGGATGCTAACCAAAGGTCAACAGTTTGAATCCACCAGCTGCTCCCTGGAAACCCTATGGGGCAGTTCTACTCTGTCCTGTAGGGTCGTTATGAGTCGGAATCGACTCGACAGCAGTGGGTTTGGTTTTTGGTTTTATATTTCATATAATAAATTCCTTTTTATTTAATGTGACTCTGTATAATATTTGATATAGGGACCTGGTGGAAGGTGTAAAATAGCTTACTAAGTGATTAAATGATTTTTAAGATTAAGTTTTTAATTTTTTGAACTATTTTATTCAGGTTGGTTTGACTTCCACAAATGCAGAACTAAGAGGATTTATAGATCAGAATCTCAGTCCAACAGAAGGTAAGAATAATTGAATAAAATTTTCCTGAATTGAGCTAGTCTTACTGCATGTGTTTTGTTAAATATGCAGCTACATGGAGTACTTTATATATAATAATGATAGTATATTACTCTGTGTTGTCTTGTATCAAGTAATTTGTGTTGTATGAAAGTCAGTTATCTCTAAAAAGAGGAGGGTTTATGCGTGTGTGTGAGAGACTCTTCTTTATCTCTTTCCTAAGAGATCTCTAAGACCAGCCTTGATCAATGATCCTATTACAATTAAAACTAACTATTCAAACCACTTTTTCTTGATTTTCTTGGTTGAGACCTTATTTCCTAATGTTTTAACTTGTGAGGAGGTACATTAGAGTATGATATACTTAGTAGATTTGTGGGAGTAAACTGTATGGCTTACTGGGCGAAGGTGTATGTCAGCAATCTGACCCACCGGTACAAGAACTTACCTAAGACACCAACGGTATCTTTCGATATGTATCTTTTAGTATGTAAAGATGCATACTGAAATATTTTTGGATGAAATCTGATGTCTGGGATTGGCTTCAAAGTAATCAAGTGAGAGAAAGAGGGTAAAGTGGGTGGCATATTGTAGATAAAACAGGATTGGCTATGAGTTGATTGTTTAAGCTCAGTGAGGCTATGTGGGGTTTCATTATTCCTTTCTTTTTACTTTTGTGTATGTGAGAAATTTTCCATTATAAAATGTAGTAACAAAAAGTATGCCATTATACTACAAGCAGATGTGAGAGAAACATCAACTTCCTTAAAAGGTTTATGTCTCAGGTGGGAGATGTATTCTGGAGAGAAGGTTGGCGAAAGCTATAAATAAAAATGTCTAGCTTAATAATTTTAATGGTGTGTAGGAATTATTCTGAGTGTAAGTATGAAGCCATGAAGGAGATAATATTAAGCCTTGATGCTTCCCAATTTTTTTTTTCACATGATGGCATAAATAGAAAATGTTAACATTTACAGGGTGCACTAAGTTTAAACAGAAGAGGCTGCTTAAGGCCAGGAGTAAGCCACCCAGAAGCTCCAACTTGTCCAGGCCACCCCTGACTTCCTCAAAGATTGAGGCTCTCAGTGTCTCAGTGCATCCATAGCCTATTCGCAACACACTGTTGGGAATCCCTGCTATCATAAAATGTAATATTCGGGTCATGAGAAGGAAGTAGGAACTACAAGTTAGGTAGATAAGGAGAATTGTGATAGTGAGGAGTGGGATTGGGATAGTCGAGTGATGTGAAAATTTTGGAAATATTGAATGAGATGATAGCAAGTCAGATAGATGAAAAAACAGCCATCGAAAGACAGAAGACAATGAAGGTTTAGGTGAGAGAGGTTGTCTTTGATGATAGAGTAGGGACCTGAAGAGTGAGAAAGATAGTCATAAAGATAAAAAAAACCATTGCCGTCGAGTCAATTCTGACTCAAAGCAACCCTTTGGACTGAGTAGAACTGCCCAACAGGGTTCCCAAGGAGCACCTGGTGGATTCGAACTGTCGACCTTTTAGTTAGCAGACATAGCTCTTAACCACTACACCACCAGGGTTCCAGTCATAAAGATACGCCCTGGATAAATGTACATTAATACCAGTAAAGTTTAGGTATACGGTAAAACCTTCTCAGTTTGTTTAAATATATAGCACAAATGGGAAAGATGGAGACATTTAAGAGAATCATTTAAGAGGCAAGGATGAGAGATCAGATTTGGAAATGGCTGTTTGTTTAAAAAGAAAATTGTCACTCTTCTTGGAGCTGTTTGCTGGTGGTAGCAGAAGAAATTCCAGATTAAGTGAACCGGGAGGACTTGGTTTTTTAAAATTATTTAATTGGCAAAATTCCGTTAATATTAAAGGGCTAAGTTGAGAGCTGTATTGGAAGTGAGATACAGAAAAGCATTTTTCCTAATTGAATGATGATATGGCAATAATAACATAGAAATTTTTTTTAAAATAGGAAAAAATTCTGTCACCCTAACACAATCTTTTCTTTTTTATATATTGTTTTTCAGTCATTATTCATAGATATACTTAACTTTTTTAGTTACAAAGCTAGTATACATTTAATTTTCTGGCCAAACACAAAAAAACTCTTTCCATGTTTTGACAGTCTTCATAAATACGATTCTAAGAGCTTCATACTATTTCATTGTGTTTATGAGTCATAATTTATTTTAAACATTTCCCCTTTTCTTACTGCTGGATAGTTAATGTTTTTGTTTGGTTTTATATATATGACTGTCTATCTGCCTTTTGACCATCATAGTAAATGTCTTTAGTCAGCTAAGTTTTTGTTCCTTTTTTTTAAAAAAACATTTTGTGTGTGTGCTTTAGGTGAAAGTTTACAGAGCAAATTGTTTCTTATTAAACAGTTAATACACAAATTGTTTTGTGACATTGGTTGCTAAAATTTATTTTCTTAAGGTAAATGCTCAGAAGTGTGGTTACTGGATAATTCCCCTTCTTAAAATTTTCTCAATGGCTTCCTATTTAAATTAGAGTAAAATCCCAAACCCCTTACCTACAAAACCCTACACCATCTTGCTCCTACATACTTCTTCATCCTTATTACTGCCACTCTTATCCTTACTCACTATACTTCAGCCATACTGATATTTCTTTTGGGAAGCTGTTTGGCAACGTCTTTCAAGAAGTTCAGAAATGTTGATTTCCTTTTTTTAAAAAAATACTTTATTTTTTAGAGCAGTTTTAGGTTTACAGAAAAATGAGCAGAAAATATAGAGTTCCCATAAACTTCCTTCTCCAGCCCACTCCCCAATATACTGTTTTTTCTGTTTTTAACATCTTACATTCATGTGGTACATTTGTTACAATTAATGAACCAATATTCATACACTATTATTAAGTCAATAGTTTACATTAGGGATAATTTTGTGTGTTATAAAGTCAAATGCATAATGTTGTACCTTTATAGTATCACACAGAATAGTTTCACTGCCCTAAAAATGCCTTGAGTTCCACATATTCATACCGTCTCCCTTCCCTCTGAACCCCTGGCAACCACTGATCTTTTTACTGCCCCTATAGTTTTACTGTCCTTGGGTGGTACAAGCAGTTAACACGCTTGCTACTAACCAAGAGGTTGGAGGTTTGAGTCTACCCAGAAGTGCCTTGGAAGAAAGCCCTAGTGATCTACTTTGGAAAAATCAGCCATTGAAAACCCTGTGGAGCACAGTTCTACTCTGACAGTGGGGTTGCCATGAGTTAGAATCAACTCAATGACAACTTTTTTTTTTTCAATAGTTTTACATTTCCAAAATATATCATTGGAATCATATATGGTATACAGTTTTTTCAGATTGACTTCTTTCGCTTATCAATATGCATTTAAGCTTCCTTTATGCCTTTTCATATCTTGATAGGTCATTTCTTTTTATTGTTGAATAATATTGTATGGCTATACCACAGTTTGTTTATCCATTCACCTGTTGAAGAACGTCTTGGTTGCTTCCAGTTTTTGGCAATTACGAATTACAAACTTTCGTGTGAAAGTTTTTATGTGGATGGCATTTAATTAAGCTTTTAAGAGTCTGCATTAGGGCAGTGTCTTAGTCATCTAGTGCTGCTGTAACAGAAATACCGCAAGTGGATGGCTTTAACAAACAGAAGTTTATTCTTGCACAGTCTAGTAGGCTAGAAGTCCAAATTCAGGGCGCCAGCTCTAGGGGAAGGCTTTCTCTGTCTGTTCTGGGGGAGTGTCCTTGTCATCAATCTTCCCCTGGTCTAGGAGCATCTCAGCACAGGAACTTTAGGTCCAAAGGACACACTCTGCTCCTGGCGCTGCTTTCTTGGTGGTATGAGGTCACTATGTCTCCCTGCTCGCATCTCAAAAGAGATTGACTTAAGACACAATGTAATCTTGTAGATTGACTCCTACCTCACAAAATGGTAGACAGTCACACAATACTGAGAATCATGGACTAACCAAGCTGACACACATTTTTGAGGGACACAATTCAATCCATAACAGGAAGTAATTTTAAATATAAAGTGTAATTCCTCATGTTTGATTTTTAGCAGTTTGACTATGATATGTTTAAGGGTGATTTTCTTTGTATTTATTTTGCTTGGGGTTCACAGAACTTCTTGAATCTGTATATGTCTTTCATTAAATTTGAGAAAATTTTGGCTGCTACTTCTGCAAATATTTTTTCTACCACATTTTATCTTCTCCTTCTGAGACTCTGATTACATGTATGTTAGACCTTTTGATATTGCCTTGTGGTTCGTGAAGTTATGTTTATTTTTCCACACCTTTTTTCTCTGTGTTCTTCAGATTGGAAAAATTTATATTAATCTACCTTGAAGTTAACTTACTTGTTTTCTGTTATCTTCCTTCTGCTGTTTATCTCATCCAATAAATTTATTTCATATATTACATTTTTCAGTTCTAGAATTTCCATTTGGTTCTTTTTTATAGTTTCTATTCCTCTACTGAGATTTCTCATCTTTTTGTTCATTATGTGCAGTTTTTTTCTTTGCATCCCTAGCATAGTAATAATAAAACAAAAAAAACAAACCTGTTGCCATTGAGTTGATTCCTACTCATGGCAATCCCGTGCATTACAGAGTAGAATTGCTCCATAGGGTTTTCTTGGCTACAATCTTTATGGAAGCAGTTCCCAGGCCTTTCCTCTGTGGAACTTCTAGGTGGGTTCAAATCGCCAATTGCAAACCACTTGTGCCACCCAGGATGCTTTAAAAATCTTTGTCCGTTAGTTCTAGTCTGAGTCATCTCAGGGTTGAAACACAGGTAGTCCCCGACATACAGTGTATTTGAGTTACGATGAGCAGCACTTACGACTGTCTGGTTTTTTTGTGTGTGTACATCTTATCATTAGTAATATGTACTACATACAGTGTTGCAGTACATAATTTGCTGATGTTATCATTCTCAGATGTTCACTCACAGATGTTCAGTTTCATGATTTACTGTTCAAAACACTGCTGTATAGCTGCTATGGGGTGGTCTGCAGT